ACTCAGGTGGCTGTCCAGGTTCTTCTTGAATGTCTCTAGTGTGGGAGAGCTCAGCACCTCTCCAGGCAGCTGGTTCCACTGTTGCATTGCTCTGAGAGTGAGGAAACCTTTCCTGATGCCCAGCCTGAATCTGGGTTGTCGCAACTTGAGTTGATTATTCCATGCCCTGCACTCTGGCATCAGCAAGAAGAGATCTTGACCTTCCTCTTTGTGACAGCCTTTGAGGTACTTATAGAGGGATATCATGTCACCCCCTTTAATCTTCTCTTCTTGAGGCTGAACATGCCCAGTTCTCTCAGTCTCTCCTCTCATAGGGCAGTGTTTCCAAACCATGGGTCATTTTTGTTTTATAACCAGCCTTGTTTCCTTTCAAGGAATGCAAGAGGACTTCCATGATTCTCCTCTTTTTCTTAAGAACAACCCTGTGAGGTAGGCTGGGCTGAGCGTCTGTGACTGCCCCAAAGTCACCCATTGAGCTCCAGGGCTGAGCAGGGACTCAAACCCAGGTTTCCTGAGTCCCCTTCCTGCTCTCATAACCACCACACTGGCTCTTGCATGCACACTCCTAACTGAAAAATCCCACTGCACATTTCAAAGTTGTGTGGCTTTTGGAGCATAATTAAATTTTATTTCAAGTATTGGTTCACATTTGTGAAATTAGTTAAGTTCACATTACAATAAGGGGAAAAAAAACAATTTTCTCCCCTATCCTTTGAAAATTAAGCAGAAATGAACCTGGAATGTACAGAAAAATAACATGATAGCTCCTAATCATAATTTTTTTGCATCATGGCTAGCTTGGTTCTTGAGTCATGTTCCATTGATTACATCTTATAAAGATTTGATTGATGATATTTTAACTGCCTTGGAAGCATATTAGTTTGAAATATAAGGGGTGTATAACAATAAACAATAAAACTGAAATGTTTTTAATGAGTTCTTTCCCTCCAATTCACCTACAAATGCAAACAATTTAAACAGCAATGCCAATTTGAACTTTCCCCAAGACTTCTGATGGAACTAAAAACTACTGAGTTTGGATACACATCTACCAGATCCAGGGTGTTGGTTCTGGAGCTTCTCTCCCTTGTGGCTGTCTAAGCTTGTATTCCTCAATACATCCTCTGGAAACAAAGTCCATAAGTCAGTTTCATTTAGCGTACAGCTCCACCTGAATCAAGCATCCCCCTCTTCTCCAGTAGTTTTTGCAGTGCTTCTATTTCCGGTGTGCTTCTTCAACCCACAAACTTCACTAGAGTTTTACCTTAATTCCTGATGGAGGGTCTAGGCCCCCCGACAAATGAATGATGTTCATTCTCTCTCATCTCCCACCATATCCCCATCTCAGATATATTTTTCTTCACTGAATTTGACGTACTGCTTTTTCTGGTACGGTATCTTATCCCTGCAGATCCTAAATAGCCTTGCTGCAAACAGTTTGCAAACAATTTCAGGTAATCGAATCCTTAGTAATATTTCTCTCCATGTGAGGGTTGTTTGCTTGCTTGCTTGCTTTCTACACCTCATGTCAGCAGCAGAAATATTTTCACATTTTCCCCTTCCAATAAAATAAAGTTAATTTTTACAGTGTCATTTCGGTGCATACATGAATGATGGCATGCACAAATGCGATATGGAATATGGAAGTATATTTTACATATGCCTCTGTAAAAATTGCATTAATAACCTGTTTTTACAGAGCTCAAAGTACCTTACACCACACCATGTTAGTAGTAAAAGCCAAGCTATTTTAGAATTATGATAATCAATAAGATCAGAATGTAAAGATCGGCAAGCAAAACACCTTCTAAACACAGAATCAACTTTCCTAGACCTTCCCCAAAAAGAGAACCTCTTAGACATACAGCCTGAACCTATGACCACAGAAGGACGGGAGGAAGTTTTGATAAAAGAAAGTTTCTTGGCTTAACTGTAGGCATGTTGGCCAATTACTATCCATTCAGTTCATTTTGGTTATAACTGAACACAACTGTTCTGATGTTTAAGTACTTTAAAATAGTCATGTGATGGAACAAGCATACGAACTAAAGAACCAGCCTGTTCGAACGGACCAGTGGGATATTTAAAGCAGAATCCTATACCCAAATATATCCTGTCTGGTCACTCTGTGATGTCCACAGACAGGACAAGAAGACGATAGACATCTCTTCCATTGTGTTCTCCAACACACCACCTGAAAGTAACCGTTGTGGCTGTGAGTTTGAAGAGGTGTTCCCTCCACTGAGAACTAGAAATAAGGTGGCGCTGGCCACCTGTGATTTTAGAAGTACTGTGCTTTAAGAGATGCTAAAGAAAGGTGCTCCATCCACCCTGGCTGTGAACAGAGTGAAATGTTTCCTACCTTCACCCTTGGATGGGGAGAAGCTGGTCTGGCGGCTGATGGTGGGATATGATCGGCAGTGAACACACATACACACCACCCACACTGTTGCCCTTGTCTTCATGCCCCATCCCCTGTCATCCCTGCCCTATCCACCCCATCGCTCCACCCGCTTTCTGGAGAACTGTCCCCTTGTGGCGCAGTGCTTAGAGGGCTGGACTAGAGCTTCAGAGATCTGCCCCCCACGTGGCCATGAAGGCCACGGGACGACCTGGGACCAGGCACTGGCTCTCAGTCAAACCTACGGAGGGTTGGTCTGAGGATAAAACAGGGAGAAGGAGCACCGTCTGCACCACCTTGGGGTCCTTGCAAGAGGAATGGGTGTGAGGATGGCAGTCTGACACTGCGTCCTGTGTGCATCTTCCTCACTTCTGAGTAGACCCAGGTTGGTTGGCGCCATAAATCTCGGGCGAGTGATTGACTGCTTGCTCTAACGGCGTGAGAGGTGAAGTCCTCCTTGGTGTTCCCTGCCCACAGGGAGCAGTCAGAGAAATGGAGAAAGATCACAAGAAGCGGGAGGTGCTGAAGCCTTGTCTTGCATTCCACGCCCTGCACTAGCTGACGTGGGGGCAGAAATAATGAGGGCAAACTTGGCTGCTGGTCCCAACATCCACCGCAAGCCCTCCTCTGCGATGCACACCTTCCGAGGTAAGAAGAAGCAGGGTGTAATTTGCCTGCTTCTCTTGCAGGCAAAGTAAATCCATTCAACCCCGATGCATCTTGAGGTGAGCGTTTCTTAAGGTGAGTCAGGCTTTTGGGAAAAGCCCAGAAAACCAGCAGCTCGACTTTCAATATCCAGTGTCAATTAACATTTGGAAGCCATGAAGGACTGAACCTGCGGGGGTCGGGGCGGGGATTGCTTTTTCAGACTATACATTCTGGCCTCTTAGAAAGAAGGTCCTTCAATAGCTATTGACTTTGTTTGTATAGAAGGGATTTTGCCCCCTACCACAATAAATCTATTCTGTAAAAAAGCATCAAGTGCTACTAAATTAAACTATAGCCACGACAGATACTCTTTGTGTTTGCTGTGAGAGGAAGTGCTGTGTGGGTGTGTTGCAGGCATCATATGGAGCTTCGTGATTTCGAGTCTTTTCTCTAAGGGCTTTCTCCTGGCAGGTAAAGAGGCTCAAGGGAATTGCTTCTGCAGAGTACTGGTAGGAGAGTTTGGGGTGGGGGGAAGGGGGCTGCTTAACCCTTTTCTTCCCAGCCAAAAGCACTTCTAAGTGGAATAGCTTGCTTCTAGAATTCACCGCCTTCTGCATGCATATGTGATCAGCCCCTACAGGTAGCTTTGATGGCTTTAAATCAGGGGCATTCAGCTTCTCTCGGCCCAGAAACTGAATGCCGCTTCAGCAAAGCTCTCAGTGACTATCTCCCAGTAGTGAGTGGGACCCAGGTTAATGGGGTGGGGTCAAAATATCAAAAATACCAGTCTATTTTACCTTAAAGCCAGTAACTAAGCCTTAGGTGGGATATCCTAGAAAAACTGTGTGGGGGGGGGGTGCTGCAGGAAAGCTGTGAAATGACTGGGGAGCTGCAGAAAGAGGGGTGAGGCGAAGGTAAGGCTGAACTGGGACTACCAGTCTGTCATTCTGCATCTCTGAACTTGGCCCAGTGAGATGGCTCGGGAAACCATCAGAATCAGCAGGTAATTGTAAAGGTGTGTTTGGGCAGCAGGGTGGTGCTCAGAGGTCAAGAGGGAAAGGCGAGGAAGGGCGTGTGTTTAGGTGTGAGGAGCAAAGCGTCTTTCTCATGCTGGCATCCTTGGAACGCTGTCAGGATATGCAGTGCTCAGCCTAAAGGTGTTGCCTTGTTTAACTTCTTGCTTTGCAACTGCTCGCTCTGTACATTTGCCAGCAAACAGCTCATTATGTAAGAACGGGTTTGCATTTAACAGCTTGCCTGGTAGCCACGGAGTGCCATGCAGGAGAGCGAGCACGTTGCCAGAGGGAGAACGGTGGCCCAATCCCTGCGTTGTTTCACAGCAAGCAGTGGAGGAGGGAAAGATCCTTCCCACAATTCCCATGGAAATGCGGCAGGCTGGCAGAGGGCCGATGGAGGGAGCCATCCATCTTCCAGCTGTCTCCTTAGCAGAAGAGCTAAAAGCCTGCATTTCCAGGCTTCACCTCCTCCTGATCTGCCAACCCTCCTCAGTATTTCCTATCCATCGGGGCTTGGCCGCAATCCACACAGCCATGCGGAAGAATCTTTGGAGCCACGTGCATTGTTTCTTGTTGCAATGCGAAGTGTTCTGCAGTGGCTTGGTTTGGAATGGGCGGGGAAGACCCGTTCACACTACCTTGGAGCTTCTTTTGGAGAAGAGGCAAACGAGGAGAACTGGTTTGTTGGTGCAGACCAAGACGGAGGCCTGCAATTTTGCTGGGAGTGTGGCTGCCCCGAGGGACACCCACACTTAGAAGAAACATCGCTGTCATCAACCAACTTCTGGGTGCCTGTTTGCAAAGCTCCCCAAGACACTGGGAAGATTAAGCTGAGGACCGGCTCCGAACTTCCCTCCCCTCTCTGGAGACCTTTGGAAAGACTGAAGTGGGGTGAGGGGACAGCATGACCAGAAATACATGAACGAAAGGCTCACCACGTCCATGATCTGCCTGAGGCTGAGGCTGAAGGAGACGGTGAGCGGCTGGGAGTCATTGGCCACTGGTCTTTCTAGTGGGTTATAATTCTTCAGAAGTTCCTTGTAGAGCTTTCTCTGATACTCTCCTTGCAAAGACACTGGGGAAACAGAGGCAAACGGAGAAGAGTTTAAACACACCTCGTTGCTGTGAACTGCCCAGAGAGCTTTGGCTAATAGGTGCTATAGAAATTAAAATTACTCTTTTTATCATTGGATGCCATTTCTGGAAGTCATAGAAGTGGTCAAAATGCAGCTCACAGCAGCTCCAGGTACAACCAAGAGACTCGTGTGCCTTTTCCTGAGTAGCTGTTAAGTGTTGCTAAGACCTGTTATCACGCAGGGGCTTGGAGTGCAAGCTGTGTGCCAGGAAAGTCCCAGGTTAGATCTCGCCTGTGCTGTGCACTCGTTGCTTATTTAAAGTTTTTTAACTGCTCTTTAAGGCTGTTGCCTCACAAAGTGGCGCAAGAAGTCGAGCAGAAGCAGGTTTTTTAAAAGCCATAGTGCCAGTCATAAAATATACATCACAACCTTGGCTTCGAACACACGAGTCACACACAGATGCATGAAAAAGTGTACATTTTGAAAAATGGGCACAAAAATATTAAATGAATTAAAGAAAAATATAGATTTTCCATGTGTCCTTTCAAAGAAATGCACATGAAATGCGAAAAAATCAAACTTTCATGGGAAGGAGTGGAGGAAGGGTTGAAATCGGAGTCAGGTGCAAGCTGGAAGTTGCTCTGGTAGAACATGGAGAATTTAGAGTTTTGCTGATTCTCTCATTCCTTTCCCTGCCTATTCTAAACACATATCTTTGGAACGGCAACAAAGTCATTTTATTCTGCGTTGCACCAAAGATAAGTGTCTGATGAGATGCAGACACTTTAAACAGATGAAGAAGACTTTTTCCCCAGTGATTCCTTATTCCTGCAGCCAAGCATACATTATAATCTAAAACTTGCCAGTTGAGTTCAGCAGGGACAACCAGGGAACAAGAAGTATGAATATCAGCCAGGGATAATTTGGGAACAGCCAGCAAGGAGGAGTTTGGATAAGCGAGGAAGGGAAAGGTCAGTCCGAGTCCAAACGACCTGTCAAGATCCATTACATTTAGAAATTCATCTCACTAATATACCACCAGAGAGTCTACAATAAATTCATCCAAAATGAGCTGGACAGTGTGTTATTATTTGGAGAAAACAAAACTGAGCCAGTTCACACAAATGCATATGAATTTCCCTTTTACTGAATAATTCTTAGGTTCTAGAAGGCCATCACACCCATGGTGTCGACCTGAAGCTCTCAGAGATGTAGCTCTCAGCTCTGCAACCTGACATCTTTCTCTATCTTCCTTTGGGGGGAGGGGAAAGGCAGATACAATAAACTTAGAATCATAGACTCATAGATCCATACAATAATGTAATAATAGAGCTGGAAGGGGCCAATAAGGTCTTAGGGTCCAACCCCCTATTCAGTTCAGGACTCCAGGTTAAAGGATCTCTAACAAATGGCTGCATCTTGAGTGCCTCCAATGCAGAAGAGCCCACAACTTCCCATTGCTGCATTGCTCTAACAGTCAAGACATTTTTTCCGTTGTTCAGCTAGAATCTAGCATTTGTGGGCCATTATCTTTTGCGAAGATCAAGAAGAGATCCTGGCCTTCCTCTTTGTGACAGCCTTTCAAGTACTTGCACACATCTCCACATCTCCTCCCAGCCTTCTCTTCTTGAGGCTGAACATGCCCAGGTCTTTCAAACTCTGTTCATCGGGCTTTGTTTCTCGTTCCCAGACCATCGTTGCTGCCCTCCTCTGGACCCTTTCCAGCTTGTCTGCATCTTTCTTTGTCCCAGACCTTAGGCACAGTGCTCACCTAACCAGTGCTGAGCAAAGGGGAACTGGTGCTTCACAGGATCGGCAAGTGAGTACGACGGCCTGGCGACAGTGACACACACGTTGGTGACTTCCCGCCTTGACTTCTGCAATGCGCTTTATGTGGGGCTGCCCTTGAAGACGGTCCGGGTACTTCAATTCGTTCAAAATAGAGCTGCCAGGCTGCTGATGGGGACTGGGCATTATGTTCACATGACTCCAGTCCTCCGTCAGCTTCACTGGCTTCCCATTGAAGTCCGGGCCCAATTCAAGGTGTTGGTGATGACCTATAAGGCCTTAAACGGCTTGGATCCTGGTTACCTGAAGGAGCACTTACGTCCATATATGCCCGCCCACCCCCTGAGATCTGCGGGAGAGGCCCTTCTCCGGGAACCCTCCGTGAAGGAAATTAGGAGGGTAGGTACCCGGAGGAGGGCCTTCTCTGCGGTGGCGCCCTATCTCTGGAATGCGCTCCCCAGAGAGGTCTGCCTGGCGCCGTCGTTATTTGTTTTTCAGCACCAGGCAAAGACCTTTTTATTCAAACGTCATTTTAACTGTTAATAGTATTTATTTATTTTATTCTTTGGCCAGGGCGACTTATTTTATATTGTTAACTTGTTTTATATTGTTAATGTATAGTATTTTAATCGATTTATTTGTGAGCCGCCCCGAGGCTTCGGCGAATGGGGCGGCATAGAAATTTTCTACATAAATAAAACATACTTCTATCAATGCAGCCGAAACCAGCATTTGCCTATTTACAGCCACATCACACCGCTGTGGACTCATATTCAGCCTGCGAGCTGCAGTAATTTGAATGCTTCCAATATCATAATTAAGCACGAGGATAAGCCAGATTTTTTAAAAATGACGTAACCACCCACCTAACAGCCATCAGGAAAGGGATAGTACTTCTTTTGGAAGGGAATGCCATGACCGGAGCGCTGCCACGAAAAAGTCCATGCAACGTGTTCCCACCAGCTGAACCTCTTCAGGTGGGTGAGACGCAAGCAAGACCCTAGCCGTTTGTTGCAATGTATGGGAGGAAACCGCATCTCGGGTGTCTTCGCCCCAAGCCAGTCAGGACTTGACATGTCGAGACCAACACCTGAAAATGAGGGACAGTCCAAGGTCTCCTGTCAGGAATGGGGCTGTCTGGGCCCTCATCAGGTCTCCAGCTGCCCTGCTTAGGGACACTGGCTCAGTGCCAGGGACTGGATCAGAACCTCCTTGACGTGTCTTTCCACAGGAAGCTACTCCATTCGTCGGGGTACCTCCCAAACCATGGGGAAAATAAATACGATTCTGCCCCTTTCCCATCTATCGCACATGAACTGTAACCAAGAAGGTAAATCTTCCACACATGAGAAGGTCCCCGCCTAAAAATATGGCCAGATAGGCCATAGAAAACAACCTCCAACATGTAACAGAAGCATCTGCAGTGACGTTTTCTAAACTTCATTGACTATTCTAAGAATGATGATTGCATTTCACATAAAGGCCTTAAATACATGAGCCGCATTATCTAATTTACTTGTGCCGTACAACTTCACACTGCGGGCTTTTTAATGTCTCCCTTCCTAGAAAGATTCCCCATATGCAGTAGACAAGCACACCATGTTGGGACGGGAACAGTGCAGCTCTTTCACAGCTACTGCGAAGAAAACCATTCCAGGAAGGACTTCTGAGCAGCCTGGCCATGTGTTACACAGAGCTGCTATTTAGAAAGGCAGGTAATGGAGAAAGGAGCAACGTCGCCTCTAACAGTACCCTGTTGTCTTGATTAAATCCAGGTTTCCATGCCCTGTAGGGAGAAACATACCAATGTCTGGTCTATTCCCACTGAATTCTGTGGGGAATGTAGCACAATCCCTTGCAGAGAAGTTGTGTGCTACTTGCCCAGCAAAGCTTGCTTCCAAGCAAGTGTGTTTTCTAGCATTGCCTTAATGCCAAGTCTGCAGGAGAATACAGTCCTGAACACGTTTGTCCGAGAGTGCTTGTCCACAGCATTCAACAAAGTGTATTCAAAGATAAGTGTCTCTAGGATTACAGTTTTGTACTTCAACCTTCCCAAACAAGTGCAGACCATTTATTTTGGACAAGCACTGGCCACTTCTGTCTGGGGATGATGAACACTGATGTTCAAGACATATGGAGGAGAACAGGTGGGAAAGGCTGTTTTCACAGCTTTGCTTCAAGTAACGACCATCAACTGGTAGCCGGAAACCTGCTCAGCTGAGAAGGAGGCTCACGCCATCCTTTGAACCTGAATATGATGAACCTCTTTGGAAGGCGATCTGGACTCCGAAATGCAAAGCCGTATGTGACATTTCTGGCACTTGTAGCTTCACATCTTTGAGTGGGCCTCTTTAAGAGAAGCGGGTGTCTATGAGGCTTTTCATTCTCACATCCTCCTTTATTTATTTATTTGTCTGTCTGTCTGGAGTTTTTGTATGCCGTCCCATTCACATGAGCCTCGGGATGGCTTCCAACACAATAAATAAACAAGCATATAAAACAAAACATATTAAAATCCAGATTCACCCTGGCTGTAAAAATTAAAACCAATAAATAATATTAATAGTTATTAAAATATTGCTTAAATAAAAAGGTCTTGGCCTGTCGCTGAAAAACTAATAATGACGGCGCCAGGCGGACCTCTCTGGGGAGCGCATTCCATAGGTTGGGCGCCATCGCAGAGAAGGCCCTCCTCCGGGTGCTCACCCTCCTGATATCTTTCACAGAGGGTTCCCGGAGGAGGGCCTCTGCTGCCGATCTCAAATAAGTTATGCATTTAAAATAAATGAGTAGGTCCACAAGCAGACTTTGAAGGGAATCACAGGAGTTCTCCTGCTGTTGGTCTCCAAGAAATGGTATTCAGAGGCATTCGGGGTTTCGTTGAGCCAGCACAGTCGAGAGCTCGTGACATGTTGATCCTCCATGAATTTGCCTAATTCTCCATCACCTGGTTCAAAAACTGCAGCTAGTGCAAAATGAGCCGGAATTAAAAGGACGGCACTGACTGTGTATTAGCTACAAAGCAAGGGTCAAGGCCCTGTTATGGCCATACAAAGTCCTGCATACTTGGGACCAGAATAATTGTTTGTGTAATTAATTAATTTTTCGCCAGCCAACCTCCAAAGCTCTCTGGATGGTTCGCAACAGCGCATTAAAAATGACAATAGTAGATCGATCAAATTAAAATATATTACATCATTAAAAGTTTACAATACAAAATTAAAAAACCAAAATTAAAATAGATCAATATATATAAAATCTATATATTACATTTAAAAAAAAAAACGTAAAACCAGCCAGAAGGACCACTGAACTACAAGAATAATCTGCAAGGAGAGGATGGTTTTTACCTGGCACTGAAAAGATAGTAAAGTTGGCACCAGGAAGGCCTCATTGAGAAGCTCGTTCCACAACTGGGAGCCACCACTACAAAGACCCTTCTTGTGGCCACCATCTGAGCCTTCCTCAAAGGTGGCAGTCAGAGGTTGGTCCTAGAACTTGGTCATAGTGTCAGGGTAGATGAAGATCAGGAGATGTGTTCTGTCAGATCTCGTGGTCCCAAGCCCTTTGGGGCTTAGCAGGTTGGCAGCTCCCCCACATATATGCCCTGTCAGTCCCTGGGATCTTCTGAGGAACCAGTGGAAAGCTGGTGTCACTCGCTCTGTGGAATCCTCAGAAAGGAGGGTGGCTAGCTTTAAACGCCTCTTAAAAACACACGTGTTCTCCAAGGCTTTCCCTTAAGGAGCACTGCTGTCATCTTGGTTTATTCTTTATAGCACTGCAATTTTATTTTTAAGGCTTTAATATTCTTAATTAGGTGCCTTTCTCCTGTTTTTAGGGATTTTAACTATTAAGTGAGGTCGATGTTTTATAATAAACAAATGTCTTTGCCATCTCTTGTGGTGGCAAATTAATTATATGTTGCTTGTGTTGCAAATTAATTATGTGATTAATCCTTCACTGAGAGTCTTCTACTAGATTCGGGAAAGGATTGGCCTCCCTGTTCCAGAGGTTCCCAGGGCTTGGCCTTCGGAAAGATTTCTCTTGACCTTGTCACCAATTCTGCAATTACCCTTCTGCACATCCAAGTCTCTATGCATGAGCACAGAGGGATCCATTTAGTAATAAACAACAACCACACACAATATTTTCATACTGATCCTTGCACCCGAAACGTGATGCCACCTCTCCTTAATTCCCTCCCCTCCTCCCCACTTAATCATAGAATCGTAGAACCATAGAGTTGGAAGGGGCCAAGAAGGCCATGAGGTCCAATCCCCTGCTGCTGCAGGACACCAAGTCACACCATCCCACTCAGGTGGCTGTCCAGCTTTTTCTTGAATGTCTCTACTGTGGGGGAGCCCCCCACCTCTCCAGGCAGCTGGTTCCACTGCCGTATTGCTCTGACCGTGAGGAAGCTTTTCCTGATGTCCAGCCTGAATCTGGTTTGTTGCAATTGATTGTTCCATGTCCTACACTCAGGGATAAGTGAAAAGAATAATAGAATCATGGAATAGTAGAGTTGGAAGGGGCCAAGAAGGCCATCGAGTCCAACCCCCTGCAGGACACCACGTTACACCTTCCCACTCAGTTGGCTGCCCAGCTTCTTCTTGAATGCCTCCAGTGTGGGAGAGCCCCCCACCTCTCCAGGCAGCTGGTCCCACTGTCCTATTTCTTGGACCGTGAGGAAGGTTTTCCTGTTACGATTTGCCCTAGTTCGGGGATGCATTGGGCAAATGCCCCAGAGGTCTGCCTCTGAAGGATCTGCTCGGGTTCTCCTAGGGCACAAGGTTTGGCCTCCAAGCCTCACCCGCTTGATGAATCCCACCTCCAGAGGAATTTCCCCCAGGAAGAATCCCTGCTGCCTTAAACTAGCAGAGAGAACAACAGGTGGGCACTAGGAGATTTTGGCAGCACCGGGGAGAGCACCAATTCACCGAAACTTTTGACCTGATGTGAAGCAAGGGGCATGAATAAGAGGAGCAATGACTGCTCCGTGTTCTAGTCAAGTTACTGTTTCTACGTCAAGCGAAGCACGCAATTCAATTCCTCTCTTGGGACACAGGGCGGGAGTCTTCACCACGGGTAGCCAGTCCCCTGACAACTTCCAGAGAGTCCCAAGTTCCACCACCAGCCAGACACTCATCTTACATTGTGAATTCTTTAAAATGCCGTGTGCTGAGGAGGAGCTATAGGGGAAAAGAGTAATAGAATAACAACTCTGCCTCCGTTTAGCATCATTCGCCAGAGAAACTCTTTGGTGCAGCCTTATTTCCCACTACGCACATAATGCATACGCATTCTCGAGCATGTATATGCAGCTACACAGCGGATAAAATTAATTCAGAGTCACTCTGGAAACACATAAATGAGGCAAACTGCTTTGGCTCTGATGGGAAGGGTGGACAGCTGAAGCTTTCCCGAGGCCTTCCTGTAGTTATTTCGGGAGTGGGGAGCACTCAAGGGTGCCACTCAAGGTGCCCTCCGTCAAACCTCCGAGGCTGCCCTGTGGGAAAAATTTTCCCCAGAATAGTTCAGGTGCCCCTTCAGCAAAATATAACGGTATTTCAGCTAAAGGGCAAACAGCTGCTATGAAGAGAAGCTGCACATTCCTGAAAATCTGATTTTCGCTCATTGTTAAAGGTTTTCCAATTTCATTTTTCAAATCCCTTTACTCATACTTTCCCCAAAACATTTTTTAAAATTAGTTTAAGAGGAGGAGGAGGTAAACAGCTCAGCTTATAGAGTATAATACAGCTGAGAAGAGGGAATCTATCTTGCTCCATCACTTTGGAACTCCAACTTGGTTGGGGATTTCTGTATTCTATATCTGTACTCCTCCTAATGAATTTTAGAACAACAACAGTCACAGTGCAATCCTACAGACATGAGCTCTGAAGTCCAGTTTTACTATCTGTTTGGTAAAACCAAGATGTTTACACTTTGAGCATAATTCAAGCAAAGTAGGATAACCCTTAATTATGATTGTGTCTTCTCCACCACTTTTTTTAAGTAAGCAAAAATAGTATTTCTTTTTCACGAAATAGTATTTACTACTGGGGATGTAAAAAAAGAAGCAAACCAAAATAAAACCCACTCCAACCCTGTTATTAGCCCAATACATTTTGAAAGTTTGCAGGCCAGGAGAGTTTTGCTATGATGGGAAAATGCTCCTGAAGATCTGAACTGGGATTTGATGTCCCAGTTCCCTCACCCAGCGCCCCAGTCCCCACTGCCTTGGGCGGATTCTGGATGCCCTGCGATGATCAGGGAAACCCGTCCCAGTATTCAGATAGAGAGGCTTGGTAAAGAAACCGAAGCAATGGATGAGAGGAAAGATTCACGCAAAACACGGTTCATGCTCCGTTCAGTTGCTGCTTGCCATTCCGGCATTTTTGGTTCCCGTGAGATCTGAATCTGCCGTTTCACACGATAGCTTGCTGCTTTGGATTCACTGCCCTCCCCAAAAGCAAGACCCAAACAGCTGGACGTGCAAAGGGGACCCTCAAAGGGAAACGCTCGCGTTCTAGAACGCTCAGCGCTGAGCCGGAAGCCCACCTCTCTCGCCCAGAGTAAACCCCGGGCGCTGGGAAGGCACTCTCTGCATGCTCAGAGGCATCCCCCCTCTCTGTCCAACCTGCGGCTGGGTCCTCCCAGCCCGGCTCAGGCTGCAGATGGGCGCTGCGTGCGCAGGAGGCGGAGGGGCTGCCTGCGCGGACCGCGGGGGTCTTCCCAAAGTCCGGCTCCCTCTCCAGCAACCCGGCGCCCGACTCACCCTGCACCAGTCCCGCGGCGACGATCAGCACCACGGACAGCTCCCGCAGCCCCATGCCGGCGGGCGCCAGCGGCAGCGGCCGGGCGCGCAAAGTTGGGCGCCGGTCCCGGCGCCGAGCGCGCAGCAGAGGCGGGCGCGGGGCTCGGGGATGCCGCGCGCGCCCCCGGGGAGCCGGGGAGCCCCGTTCGCAGCGGCGCCGCCGGACGGGAAAACTCCTCCTCCTGCCGCTGCTGCCCGCCTGCCTCCCCGGCTCCAGCTGCCGGCTCCACGGCGGCGCTGGAATGCTAATCGCGCCCTCCTCCTCCTCCGCCGCCGCCTCCTCCTCGTCCCCACGTGACGGATTTCCCTCCTTCCGAGGAGGTGCGCCGGCGGGTGCCCAAAGGCGGCTGCCCCTGCGGCGGCGGCGGCGGCGGGGCAATGCGGCTCCCCGGCCGGGCCGGAGCGCGGCTTTATAGGGGGAACGCGGGAGCCCCTCCTCTCCCTGCGCCCGGCCTCGCCGCGCTGCGCGCCCGCCCCCCCCCCGTCGCCCCCGGCAGCCTCCGGACCCCCGGGCCACGCTCGGAGCGGCGCTGCCGCGTCCCCCGCGCGGGCGGCCCCCCCGGGGGCTTGGCAGCCGGCCTAAAAGTTCGGGGGGGCGCATCCAGAAGGGGCCGTCCTCCAGGGTTGGAGGCCTTTGGAAGGAGACTGCTTTGGAATCGCCTGCTTGCAAAATACCTTTGGGCAGCAGAGAAATTGCGGGGTGTTCTTCCCACCAGCCCCCCCACAAGCCCCCGGTGCGGGCCGGGCGGGCATCGGGATCCTGCGGGCGCTGGGCGCGCGTCGCAGGCTGCGGTCCCCCTGCGCGCGCGCGCGCTCTCGCTCGCTCCAGAGAAGAGTCCACCTCGGCTCCCTTCCGAGTCCGGGGCGGCTCGGGGGAGCGAGCGGTAACGGAGGGGGGGCTTTGCACGCGCTCAGGGGCTCGCTCGTTCAGCCTTTGCCCCAGATGGAACGAACATCCGGTCCCTTTGCCTCCACCCCGTGGCCGTGGGAGATGGGAGCTGTGCGGGAGGAGACCTGGAGGGCGCCAGGTTGCGGGAGGCCGCTGCTGTGCCCTGCCGGGACAAGTTTTAAAGGGGTGCGCTTAGGTAAAGGCCTGAGGAGGCTGCCAGAAGAGCGTGTGGGTGGCTTCTCAGCCTGCAGCTGAACCCGGTTATCTGAGAGCGTGTTCCACCGAGCCCAGCGCGAGGTTCACCGGGGACTAAATCCATAAAGTGGCCCTGTAAGCGCACGGCTTCCGTCACTTTCCCATCAGCTGCCCCACTCTTAGCGACGCAAACCGGAACCTGTTCCTTTCTTTTTTTGCACAGCGTTGTCTCTTGCGCTCCTTGTGCATCACCCGGGATGCTCAGTCACTCACGAGGCCCACTTGCTCTCGCTGTGCCTGCCTTCTGAGTAATTCTGCTGAGGAAGGGCTGTTCGTGCGTGGAACCCTGAGATGTCCAGAAGTGGAAGAGTTTCTAAGGAATAACCACACCAGATCTGAAAGGCAGGGGTCTCGTCCCCGTCCTCTCGTCCACGCTCACCTACTGATCTGTCCTTCTCTTGGATGTGCTTCCCCCTCATCTTGGATCACCAGGCTAATCCACAATACTATTTGGGGGTAGGAAGGTTTTTTCTTAAAGTTCACCTGCTACTTTCTCCAGCAGCCCACAATGCCGAACCCTCTTATCTATCAGACAAAAACACGGTCTGAGTTAATGTATCTCACTTCCGGGCACCAAGATTTAAGAAAGAGGCAGAGAAATTGGAAAGGGTCCAGAGGAGGGCAACAAGAATGATCCAGGGTTTGGAAACACTGCTTTATCAGGAGAGATGGGGCAAGTTTAGCCTTGAGAAGAGAAGGCTGAGGGGGACATGAGATCCCTCTGGAAGTCCCTCAAAGGCTGTCACAAAGAGGAAGGTCAAGATCTCTTCTTGTTGATGCCAGAGTGCAGGGCACGGAATAATCAAGCCAAGCTGGGACAACCCAGATTCAGGCTGGGCATCAGGAAAGGTTTCCTCACTGTTAGAGCAATGCGACAGTGGGACCAGCTGCCCGGAGAGGTGGGGGGCTCTCCCACACCTTTGGGAACATTCAGAAAGAAACTGGGCAGCCACCTGAGTGGGATGGTGTGACTTGGTGTCCTGCAACAGCAGGGGGGTGGACCTGATGGCCATCTTGGCCCCTTCCAACTCTACTCTTCTAGGATTCGATGAAACACTCTTCCCCTCCCCAAAACAACCCCACTCCCTTTCTGTTTTCCTGTTACAGGTTTGTCGCATTTATCCTTACCTGGCCACAAATCCCAGGGAGTCCCATGCCCCAACAGTTCCATATAAGCAGCCCTGCAGCCTCTCAGTCTTCACTTTTTATTGAAATTGCAACCTGATTTCAATGTGAAATGATGTTTTTAATCTCGCTTGTCCTTCTCTTTCTAGTCTTTGGGCCAATTAATGTATTAGCCCTTGTAATTCCACGCAAAGTAGCTGAAGATGAAAGCTTAAAAACAACTCACTATCACAAGGCCTTTTCAGATCCATGATGAAATTGTGTGTGTGTGTGTGTGTGTGTGTGTGTGTGTGTGTGTCAGTAGCCCTCAGGCCCTGAAAATGTAACTTTTCCCATTCGAAGTAAATCCTCATAAAATGCAACCCTTAGATCCAACACTTGCTTTTGTAAAGGCCTCTGAGCACGCCATCTTCCTGGAAGCCAGATCTTTCAAACTGATTATGAGTTGGACAAACGGAATGCCCTTTGGTCGGGTCCCTCAATTTCCTAACATTAAGAGGAAGCGAGAACAGCTTCTCTATCCACTTTCTCCACACTTGTTAAAAATCAAAACAAAACCTTCAGGCATGTTTTGATTTTTCGGTTATTGCCTCCATGTTTTTCAGCCATGAGGGACTAGAAACTTATTGGACAAGATGAACACTAAGAATGGACCACATTCTCTTTGCCAAAGCCAACATCTCGTCATTGATTATAGTTGCACTGACCTGTGGAAGAGTTTTGCTCTCCTCAAAGGTGGATTGTCATTAATCTAGGCATTTCCAAAAGACGCTGAAACATCTTCATATAAAATTAATATTACATAATCTAAAGGGACAACATTTATCCATGAAATGCTGTCAGTCCTCATGATAGGCAGTGACCTTAAGTATGTGAGAAACATGCAAACACATACACACACACCCCAACACAGATTTTCCTTAAATCTGCTGTCAAATACTGATTTTGAAGCTGGCTGCTCTGTTTTGTTGAAGGGCCTAATGAATTTTTCATTTATACCGATTAGTATCTGTGAGATATTTTACAGTTCACTAAACTGCAACATAGAGTAAAGCCACATTTCCGGGAAAACAAACAATTGGTCCTTCACTTTTAAATCATAAATCCATGGTAATTAGTGCTTGGGCAGTGAGAAGAAAAGATATAAACATGGCCGAATCTACTTTTTTGCACTGAAGTGGCTGATAAATATGTAGGTGCGGGAATCAGCAAAGTATATAACCTTGGACATATGGTGCGTTTTTACATGCATCTATCTTTCTGCTTTGGAATACCCCAGTGAAACATCACAACCATTGCCAGTAAACTTGAATGCAGTCTCATAAATGGGTTCATTTAAGCATGCTGATCAGCTGAGCTGCTGTGATGTCAGAATGAGGTTGGTATTGCAATCCTAGCTGCTATTGGTTGGGCTGTGATGCTAGAAGCCAACCAAACCAAAGACCCAGTTTGCATAGATAACATCTATTTTGCCCTCTGAATACACAGAGATGTATCTCAATGCAAAAGGGAAATTACACATGTAAATAATACATCAGAATCCATCTGTGCAGAGGTGAAAATACACGACAGAAATCCACCGCAGCCAGCCCAAAAAGAGGAAACCACAAATGCTGAGCAATTATCAAATAATGGAAGGTTGGAGGAGGAAGTGTGACTTTGTGGAGAACCTCAGAGGGCCAGACTGGGGCCCTGGTGGGCTGGACTTGTTCGTCTGGGTTGGTCTTACTTCAATTGGAGGTAATGTGTCTTTCCCCACACCTGCTCCCAAAGATGCTTTTTATCCTGAGATGCCAGGAATTCAATACAGTCCCGCCACCTTTTTGGTATTGCTAGCGAACATCACCTTCGTGGGATTTGCCTTTGAATAAAGGTTGCACCCCAGACGGAGTTTGCTGGTATGTTTAACCATACATTTCATCATTCTTCTGTAAACAGCAGCTCCATACCTAATGCATCTTCTGGCAGAAGATCATCCAACCATCTAGAGCAGTTTGCTTCTTTTTAAAGTATTCTGTTGAATGTTAAAGATCAGTACTTTGCCCATTTAAGACTAGCTGTGCACCAGATTCACCAATCAGGCTCCAGATGGGTGTCAGTCCACCAAGGAAAGGACAGACCTTCCCCCTCCCCCAAGGATTCTACAAAACACCTAATGGAAGGTATTAATGCTCTGTTTCATTGGAAGCGTTCAGTCTAATGGCATCGTTAGCAAGCAGAACAGACAAGAGACACTTTGTCCAAATTGGAGTCATTAGATCACACACACAAGAGTCCGGTGCAATTAACATGGTGTCGTTGAGATGGTGTTGAGATGAGTTCATTTAGGGCGAAATACTGGGCAATGGATCAGGCATCCCTGCTCCCAAACACCTAAAAATGGGAAAGGAATTGTGTTGTGTTGAAGGGAGAAGTCAATATTTGAAACGGGTGTCGAATGCACCCCAGATTTGCCACATCTGTCCTTTCAAGGGGAAAGAGCCAGTACCTTCTCCCTGAGGATCTACATAGAATCATAGAAGAGTAGAGTTGGAAGGGGCCATGAAGGCCATCAGGTCCAACCCCCTGGATCACGGAATCATAGAACCATGAAATAGTAGAATTCGAAGGGGCCATGAAAGCCATCGAGTCCAAGCTCCTGCTGTTTCAGGACACCAACTTACACGATGCTTGGATTGTCCGGACTCCTTGGAACATCCAGCTCAGGGCTTCCAATTCTTCTGCCGATGAGGATTCCTCTGAGAGGA